CACAGAAGAAGGCAATGGCAAACCGCTTCTGGATCATCTGCCAAGAACGTATATGAACAGGTCCCAGTCCGAGAAAAGGATGGAAGGATCCTGTTCATATGGACCTGTCGTCAGACAGAACACTAAATAAATAAATATAAAAGATAAGACGAATAAAAGGATGTAATCCAGTGGAGGATACTTTTTCCAAAAGCGTCATTTGAGATTTTTCATACCTCATTGACATTTATTTTCATTTATTGTGCGCTTTACAGACGTCACTGTCAGTAACTGCTTCGTCTTGAACTTACTTAAATTCAGACACCACACAGATACAAATATTTAAATAATGATGCAGACCTTACTCTTTTGTTGGTGTTGAGTCTCACCCTTTTAAAAAGTGAACACGTGACGTAAAATTATCAGTAAATTAAGACTTTTGTCTACATTGGAAGGATACGAATCAAAATTAGCTTTTTCCAATAATGTTTTAAAGGACCAAATACTTGTAATTTTGGAGATGATCACATGAGCTACACGAACTCCCCCTCCCCCATTATGTGTTCCTTATAACAATTTCTTTCAAAGAACGCCCAATATTAACAGGAAAGTTTGTTACTTTCTTCTACAGTCCAAGTTCCTTGTCCCATATAAAAGGCGTGGACATATAATTGACTAGCTGAGCAAATATTAGCTTTTTTTAAAAAAAACTGAACTTAGTAGATTTTGTTTTAGTACACCGACGTTGTATGGCGTACTAAAATAACCAATTTGCATTCTAAAAATATATGGTTACATTTTGGCAGCTCTTATAATCTCGATAAACTTTGTTTTTCGTGGTTTTCTTGTCTATCTGAAGGCTCATGCATTTCTTTATCAATAGATATCATAATTATTTATACTGTACTTATCTTTGTTGACATTCTTCAGGAAAATTTAGGCATGAGTGTGGATAATTAGCGGATAGCTGAGAAAAGAAACAAATACAGGTGTCCACGAGAAAGTACGATAAACATCCACTATTCTGAGGTGTAGGTTATCATATTCACAACTAACGCTGTCAAACTAAACTGCCAGCATTACTTTACGCAAGCATACCAGAATAAGAAAATAATAAAAACAAGAATAATTTGTCAATCAGTCTTTTTTTTAAAACAGTATAATCAGAGTTAAGCCTGTCTAAACGCGACTTTGGAACATCCACTGAAGAATTTTCGGTTGACTTCGGAGTCAGAAGTCATCTAACCGTCTGAG